ATATACTGACTGACTGACTGATATACTGACTGACTGACTGACTGATAGACAGACTGACTGACTGATATACTGACTGACTGACTGACTGATAGACAGACTGACTGACTGCTATACTGCCTGACTGACTGACTGATATACTGACTGACTGACTGATATACTGCCTCACTAACTGACTGACTGATATACTGACTATCTGATATACTGACTGATATACTGACTGACTGACTGACTGATATACTGACTGACTGACTGACTGATATACTGACTGATATACTGACTGATATACTGACATACTGACTGACTGATATACTGACTGACTGACTGATATACTGACTGACGACAGACTGACTGACTGATATACTGACTGACGACAGACTGACTGACTGATATACTGACTGACTGATATACTGACTGACTGACTGATATACTGACTGACTGATAGACAGACTGACTGACTGACTGATATACTGACTGACTGACTGACTGATATACTGACTGACTGATATACTGACTGACTGATATACTGACTGACGACAGACTGACTGACTGATATACTGCCTCACTAACTGACTGACTGATATACTGACTGATATACTGACAGACTGACTGACTGACTGATATACTGACAGACTGACTGACAGATATACAGACTGACTGACATACTGACTGAGTGACTGACAGATATACAGACTGACTGATATACTGACTGACAGATATACAGACTGACAGACTGACAGATACTGCCTGCCTGACTGACTGACAGATATACAGACTGACTGACATACTGACTGACTGACTGATATACTGACTGATATACTGACAGACTGACTGATATACAGACTGACAGACTGACTGATATACTGACTGACAGATATACAGACTGACAGACTGACTGACTGACTGACTGACAGATACTGCCTGACTGACAGATACTGCCTGACTGACTGACTGATATACAGACTGACTGACTGATATACTGACTGACTGATAGACTGAAATACTGACTGACTGATATACTGACTGACTGACTGATATACTGACTGACGACAGACTGACTGACTGATATACTGCCTGACTGACTGATATACTGACTGACTGACTGATATACTGCCTCACTAACTAACTGACTGACTGATATACTGACTGACTGATATACTGACTGACTGACATACTGACTGACTGACTGATATACTGACTGACGACAGACTGATATACTGACTGACGACAGACTGATATACTGACTGACTGACTGATATACTGACTGACTGACTGATAGACAGACTGATATACTGACTGACTGATATACTGACTGACTGATATACTGACTGACTGACTGCTATACTGCCTGACTGACTGACTGATATACTGACTGACTGACTGACTGATATACTGACTATCTGATATACTGACTGATATACTGACAGACTGACTGACTGACTGATATACTGACAGACTGACTGACAGATATACAGACTGACTGACATACTGACTGAGTGACTGACAGATATACAGACTGACAGACTGACAGATACTGCCTGCCTGACTGACTGACAGATATACAGACTGACTGACCTACTGACTGACTGACTTACTGATATACAGACTGACTGACTGATATACAGACTGACTGACTGACATACTGACTGACTGATATACTGACAGACTGACTGACAGATATACAGACTGACTGACATACTGATATACAGACTGACTGATATACTGACTGACTGACGACAGACTGACTGACTGATATACTGACTGACTGATATACTGCCTCACTAACTGACTATCTGAGATACTGACTGATATACTGACTGACTGATATACAGACTGACTGACTGACAGATATACAGACAGACTGACTGACTGATATACTGACAGACTGACTGACAGATATACAGACTGACTGACATACTGATATACAGACTGACTGATATACTGACTGACTGACGACAGACTGACTGACTGATATACTGACTGACTGATATACTGCCTCACTAACTGACTATCTGAGATACTGACTGATATACTGACTGACTGATATACAGACTGACTGACTGACAGATATACAGACAGACTGACTGACTGATATACTGACAGACTGACTGACAGATATACAGACTGACTGACATACTGATATACAGACTGACTGATATACTGACTGACTGACGACAGACTGACTGACTGATATACTGACTGACTGATATACTGCCTCACTAACTGACTATCTGAGATACTGACTGATATACTAACTGACTGATATACAGACTGACTGACTGACAGATATACAGACAGACTGACTGACTGATATACTGACAGACTGACATACTGACAGACTGACTGACTGACAGATATACAGACTGACAGACTGACTGCCTGACTAACTGACTGATATACTAACTGACTGTCTGAGATACTGACTAACTGATATACTGCCTGACTGATATACTGACTGACTGACTGCTATACTGCCTGACTGACTGCTATACTGACTGACTGCTATACTGCCTAACTGATATACTGCCTGACTAACTGACCGACTGACTGATAGACAGACTGACTGACTGACTGATATACTGACTGACTGACTGATATACTGACTGACGACAGACTGACTGACTGATATACTGACTGACTGCTATACTGCCTGACTGACTGACTGATATACTGACTGACTGACTGATATACTGCCTCACTAACTGACTGACTGATATACTAACTATCTGATATACTGACTGATATACTGACTGACTGATATACTGACAGACTGACTGACTGATATACTGACAGACTGACTGACAGATATACAGACTGACTGACATACTGACTGAGTGACTGACAGATATACAGACTGACTGATATACTGACTGACAGATATACAGACTGACAGATACAGCCTGCCTGACTGACAGATATACAGACTGACTGACTTACTGATATACAGACTGACTGACTGACTGACTGATATACAGACTGACTGACTGACTGATATACTGACTGACTGACTGATATACTGACAGACTGACTGACTGACTGATATACTGACAGACTGACTGACAGATATACAGACAGACTGACTGACATACTGACTGACTGATATACAGACTGACTGACTGATATACTGACTGACTGATATACTGACTGACTGACTGATATACTGCCTCACTAACTGACTGACTGATATACTGACTATCTGAGATACTGACTGATATACTGACTGACAGATATACAGACTGACAGATATACAGACTGACAGATATACAGACAGACAGACTGACTGACTGATATACAGACTGACTGACTGACTGACAGATATACAGACTGACTGAGACTGACTGACTGATATACTGCCTGACTAACTGACTGATATACTAACTGACTGTCTGAGATACTGACTGACTGATATACTGCCTGACTAACTGACTGACTGATATACTGACTGACTGACTGATATACTGACTGACTGACTGCTATACTGCCTGACTGACTGCTATACTGCCTAACTGATATACTGACTGACTGATATACTGCCTGACTAACTGACCGACTGACTGATATACAGACTGACTGACTGACAGATATACAGACAGACTGACTGACATACAGACTGACTGATATATTGACTGAGACTGACTGACTGATATACTGCCTGACTAAATGACTGACTGTCTGATATACTGACTGACTGACTGATATACTAACTGACTGACTGATATACTGACTCTCTGAGATACTGACTGACTAACTGACCCACTGACTGATATGCTGACTGTCTGAGATACTGACTGATAGACTGACTGACTGATATACTGACTGACAGACTGATATACAGACTGACTGCCTGACATACTGACATACTGACTGATATACTGACTGACTGATATACTAACTGACTGTCTGATATACTGACTGTCTGATATACTGCCTGACTAACTGACTGACTGATATACTGACTGTCTGAGATACTGACTGATATACTGCCTGACTAACTGACCCACTGACTGATATGCTGACTGTCTGAGATACTGACTGACTGACTGACATACTGACTGACTGATATACTGACATACTGACTGACTGACTGATATACTGACAGACTGACTGACAGATATACAGACTGACTGACATACTGATATACAGACTGACTGATATACTGACTGACATATACTGACTGACTGACATACTGACTGCCTGACATACTTACTGACTGATATACTGACTGACTGACAGACTGATATACAGACTGACTGACTGACATACTGATATACTGACATACTGATATACTGACTGACTGATATACTGACTGACATATACTGACTGACTGACATACTGACTGACTGACATACTGACTGACTGACAGACTGATATACTGACTGACAGACTGTCTGATATACTGACTGACTGATATACTGACTGACTGACATACTGACATATACTGACTGACATACTGACTGACTGATATACTGACTGACTGAATGATATACTGACAGACTGATATACTAACTGATATACTGACTGACTGATATACTGACTGTCTGAGATACTGACTGACTGACTGATAGACTGACTGCCTGACTAACTGATATACTGACTGTCTGAGATACTGACTAACTGATATACTGACTGTCTGACTGATATACTGACTGTCTGAGATACTGACTGACTGATATACTGACAGACTGCTGGCACTCCGCTTGAGTACCTCTGCCAATCGATGCTCCTAGTGCTCGCTGAGGACTCCAAGCACTCCAATCGACACCATCAGCACTGCAGACCCCACTTCCAGCGATGCAACTGCGCCGGGGTCTCTGCTGTCTCCACCCACCCTTGACCCAAGGCCAGGATCCAGCTTCCAGTGGGTGAACCTCTCTTTCCCCAGAGAGCAGGAACAGGAACAAGCTCTTAGCAGAACTTAGTGATCATACCCTGGGGAGTATAGTGATTATAGCAATCCCCAGAGTGTATTTCTCCAATCTCCCAAACATGAGCCAAGGCTTAATGCTGGAACAAGACTTTACTGGAAGTAACAACAACAGGTATTCAAGCTACAGTTTCTTTTATGCCCTGCTCCCATGGAGGGGAGGGACACACACGTTATCTACAGTAGCCAATAAAACAGAGGTTACAGCCCACACAAAATCATCCCCTCTGCATGTGATTCAATTATCTTATACAATAGAAGATTCAATTATCACAGGTAGGAAAAATACAGTTTTTACAGCATATTCATAACTTCTAAAAATATACATCACATTCACATAAAAATTACATATTCACAATCAATCCATTCAGGGAAACAACATATCAAAAAATGGCATGAATCAGACCAGGGGTTCAGAAGTTAGTAAAGCATCTCTTGGGGCCTGGCTGGCAGCATGGATATCTGGCCCAAACCGGTTTTACAGAGCCCTCTATCCTGGAGACAATGGGGAAAGTAATCCAATTATCCAGGAATAGAGACAGACTCCATTGAGCACATGTTCCCAGTAAAACACAAAAGGATACAAAAATACATAACTCCTATCATACTAAAAGTCCAGAACGCCCCAGCAGGAATACACAAATAAACCTTTCTGCAGGGGAAAATACCGCTATCAGCACATGGGCCATAGTCGGAAGGCAGGAGGATAGCCAGTAGTCCCCTCCAGGCAAAAGTGGCGAAGGGCACTTTGTCACAATACTGACTGACTAACTGACTGATATACTGACTGATTGATATACTGACAGACAGACTGACTGATTGTGACGGACAGCTGGCACTCCGACTGAGTACCTCCGCCAATCGATGCTCCTAGTGCTCGCTGAGGACTCCAAGCACTCCAATCGACACCATCAGCACTGCAGACCCCACTTCCAGCGATGCAACTGCGCCGGGGTCTCTGCTGTCTCCACCCACCCTGGACCCAAGGCCAGGATCCAGCTTCCAGTGGGTGAACCTCTCTTTCCCCAGAGAGCAGGAACAGGAACAAGCTCTTAGCAGAACTTAGTGATCATACCCTGGGGAGTATAGTGATTATAGCAATCCCCAGAGTGTATTTCTCCAATCCCCAAACATGAGCCAAGGCTTAATGCTGGAACAAGACTGATTTACTGGCACACAGAACTCACAATTTATGCAACACAAAACTCCTCCTCTGGGCCAGGCTAGATAATTGAGTTTCTACAATACACAAAGCTCAATTATCTGCTGGCCAGAAATAATACAGTTTTTACAGCATTCATAACTTCTAAAATATACATCACATTCACAGACTCCATTGAGCACATGTTCCCAGTAAAACACAAAAGGATACAAAAATACATAACTCCTATCATACTGAATTGAACGGGCCAAATCTCCCAGGGTCAATAGTCACAGGGCAAGAGGCGGGCAAGCAGTCCTCTCCAGGCACAAGTGGTGAAGGGCACTTCGTCACACTGATATACTGACTGACTGACAGACTGATATACTGACTGACAGACTGATATACTGACTGACTGACTGATATACTGACTGTAACGGAACCGCTGGCACACCGACCGGGTACCTTCCGCCGACGGATGCTCCTGGTGCTTTCCGAGGACTCCAAGCACTCTGCCCGACACCACAACCACTGCAGACCCCACGAACCGGCGTCTCAGCTTGGTTGGGGTCTCGCCGTCTCCACCCACTCTGGACCCAAGACCAGGTTCCAGCTTCCAGTAGGTCAATCTCTCCAAATTCCAGAGAGCAGGAACAGGAACAAGCTCTTAGCAGAGCTTAGTGATTATACCCTGGGGAGTATAGTGATTATAGCAATCCCCAGAGTGTAGTTTCTCCAATCCCCCAAACATGAGCCGAAAACTGCATGAAGGTACAAGATGATCTGACTCCAATGAGCGTTTATTACTCCTTATATACAAGTTTTCAGGCCAGAGGCACACCCCCTGGACCTGGTGGTAAACTGTGACAAAAGGGACACAAACCAATGGGAACACTAATTAACATAACAACACTCTCACATTCACAATGAAATCCCTCCTCTCCATCCTGGAGATAATTGGCTTAAGGCACTGCAGTAAACTCAATTATCTCCAGGTACAGAAAATATCTACATTTTACACTAACCGCAAAAATACGTAAAAGTACATAAAAATACATAATTCTTATTTTATTACACAGAACCCCCACCTTTAACCTATCCCCAGATAGCTCGGATCTGAGTGCCCAATCTAGGTGAACAGTGCTCAGATCCCATGAACAGAGTAAATTTGCCATGGGGTAAAGCATAGCAAGGGCTGTTGAGAAACCAAGGAGGGACAAAAGCAGTCAGTTCCAACTGGTTTGGCAGTGTGCCTGGGACAACGCCCTGCTGGAGAACAATAGACAGGAAATGGGGGAGGGGAAGAAACACACCTTCCCATGGATTAAAATGGGCAGAAACTGTCTTTAGAAGCCAATAAGCCCCAAATAGTCTTTTTTAAATGGCAATACACCCCAGGGCCATAGTCATGAGGAAGGAGGCTGGCAATCAGGCTCCTCCAAAAGCTGGGGGCAAAGGGCAGCTTGTCACCTAACAATCCAGGGACAAAAGGCATTTCGTCACACTGACTGACTGAGATTCTGACTGACTGACTGAGATTCTGTCTGATATACTGACAGACTGACTGATATACTGACTGACTGACTGACTGTAACGAAATCCCTTATTAAACAGACCATGCGAACCAGCCTGTTTGGTTATTTGGATGATTACAACGGGATTTCGTGAAATAGCGAGAAAAGCGAATGAACTACCGAACCACCGACCTCCCACTGAGGTCGTGTAGCGCCTATTAACCACCCAGACTGTTGCGGTTAACCACAGACTAATTGGGGAATAGCTGGTGGTCCACGTTCGTTTACCGAACACGTGGCAATCGCCATTTTGTATTGTCGAACGCTCAGCGGTAAATGGCGAGGATTCCCTGGAACTAATTTCGGCTACTTATTTTGTCGAACACTGCTGCTACCTCTTCACATCCTTGTTCGTACGGTGGAAAAACACACGAATGAAGGGGATACTACTTCATTCGTGCGCAGGAAGTATGCGAAAGTGACCGACCCCAGATAGCTACAGTATGGAACTTGTAGTCGGCTACAAACACACGAACGGCTGGCGAAAGTCAAACTTCAGTCGACGTTTCTGAGAACTGTGTTCGTGGGATCTGAGCGTTATTCGCCTAGAATATGCACTCAGATCCAAGCTATCTGGGGATATGTGGGACTTAAAGTTTATGTTATTTAAAAGGAAAGTTATAGATTTTTACGCTGTTTTGCTAAAATAAGAAAAGCCATGTTTCTTTCTACCTGGAGATAATTAAGGCTCTCTTTGCTACCTTAAGTTAATTATCTCCAGGATGGAAAAGAGGGAATGATTTATGTAAAAGGGGATTGCTTATGCTATAGCCACTGTGATTGGCTACTGTGATACTTTTGTCCCAGTCTTCCATCTGGTCCCCTAGGGGAGTGTCCACCAGGTGGGAGACCTGCTTAAATACCGGGCGGGTAGCCCACAGTAAATCAGATCGTTTTACCCCTTCATGAAGTCTCGACTCATGTTTGGGGGATTGGGAGTTATAATCACTTTGTTTCAGCTGGATTTCGGGAGAAGCTGCAAGGATCATCGCTGCACGAATAGAAGGATCCTTTACACTGACAGACTGACTGATATACTGACTGATATACTGACTGAGACCGAGATACTGACTGATATACTGACTGACTGACATACTGACTGACTGATATACTGACTGTAACGGCACCCCCAGGCATAAAAGGGTTAAACCGCCGTTTAGAAGATCTTCCCCTTCCAGAGACAGGCACAGCTACTGTAGAACACCAAACTCCCGAAATGGATACAACGGAATGCTCCAAACTCCCGAACTTCATACAAAATAGCACTCCAAACTCCCGAACTGGAGCCTCACGAATAACTGCTAGCAGACGAATAGGAAAAGCACCCAAGCGGCTTACACTCCTAGCAATCAGTCTCTATCAGCATACAGTAAATCCCCCAAAGATGAGACAGAGCTCCATGTTGAGGGTCAAGCAGTGGTCTGGTTTAATGAGGGCTACCTACCCAGTATTTATGCAGGTCTCCCACCTGGTGGACACTCCCCTAGGGGACCAAATAGGAGACTGTGACAAAGGACAGACATGAACCAATGACAGACACACAGAGGTAAAACATACCCACAATGCATCCTAACTTCCCTCCCTCTGTCCTGGAGATAATTGGGAAGTAATCCAATTATCATCCAGGACAGAGGCAAAACTCCATTAACCACATGGCAGTAAAAGACAGTAAAAGACATAAAAATGTATAAAGTTCCAACTTTTGCACAAAACATATACATTCTACCTATCCCAAGATAGCTTAGATCTGAGTGCACAAAAGTACCGAATAGCGCTCAGATCCTATGCACACAGTCCAATCGCCGTGGAGTTAAAGTGTTCACAAAGTCTGTTCTTCATACGAATGGTGACAGATTCATCTGTAGGACTAATATTGCTGGTTCGTCTAGTTTGCCTCCCCTTCGCGGAATTACCTGTCCGTATACCCCTATTCGTCTTTTTGACTTTTTACCGAATGAACTTATCAAACGGACGGCCACCCAGAAGAGAAGTGTGCTGCTGGTTAACCTCTTGATCCCAATTAGAACGTTGTGGTTAACCGCAGACACCTCTCAATTATAACCGAATGCAGGGTGGCAGTCGTTCGTATGCCGACCACAAGGCGGCGGCCATTTTAAACCATGCGAAAGACCAGCGGTGTTCGGCACAGATTCTATGAAACTAAAAACGGACACTTTTTCTGCCGAACACCGCTGAGACTACAGACCGCCCTTCTCATTCGTCAAGGCATGCGAACACCGGTCCGTTCAGGAGTTTGGATTACACGAATGGACTTAACCCAGATAGCCATCCCATGGAGTCAACCGCATGGCGATTGAACTGTGCGTATGGGATCTGAGCGCTATTCGGTAAGAATATGCACTCAGATCCAGGCTATCTGTGGATACGTTGCACGAATGTAATATGTTCGGTAGTTGTATAATTATTTATTTTTATGTGTTTTTTATGTTTCATTTAAAATGGCGATTTGCCTCTGTCCTGGGAGATAATTGAATTACTTCTCAATTATCTCCAGGGCAGAGGGGAGGAAACCAGGATGCATTGTGGGAATATTCTGTGCCTGTATGTCCTAAAGTGCTATATGTCTTTCTGTAACTACAGTCTCCCATTTGGTCCCCTAGGGGAGTGTCCACCAAGTGGGAGACCTGCATAAATACGGGCGGGTAGCCCACAGTACAGCCAGTTCTTGTTTTACCCTCAATGCGGAGTTTGGTCTCGTTATTGGGGGGATTTACTACACACGGTTAGCGACTGATTGCTGGAAACGTAAGCCGCTTGGAGGATATATTTATTCGGCTGTTAGCCGCGATTCGTGGATTTATTGTTCGGGAGTTTGGAGCACCCGTACGGGTCCTGTTCGGGAAATTAGCACATTCCCATGACTTCAGTTCGTATGGTTGAGGTATACATGAATTGAGCCTGCATTATTGAGAAAAGGGGAAGCTTAACTAAACAGCGGTTTCACTCCTGTGTGTCAGGGGTGTCTTAACACTGACTCTCACAGACTGACTGACTGACACTCTCACTGATTGACCAGCACACTCTCACTGACTCTCACACTCTGACTCTCACATTCAAACTGACTCTCACTGTAAGTGAGTCAGTGAGAGTATGAGTGTGAGAGTCAGTGAGAGTGTGATTCTGAGTGAGTCAGTGAGAGTGTGAGTCAGTGAGAATGTGAGTCTGTGTGAGTGTGTGTAAGAGAGTGTGAGAGAGTCAGTGAGAGTCACTCACTCTCTTACACACTGACACTCACACTGACTGACTCTCACACAGACTCTCACTGACTCACACACTCTCAGACACTGACACTCTCACACTAACACTGACTCAGACACACTCACTGACAATCACACCCACTAACTGACTCCCTAACAATCACACTGACTCACACTCACTGACAATCACACTAACTGACACTAGCACTCACACTCTGTGACGACCCTCTGTACTTCATATAGTACATTTGTTCGCATTCTCCCGAAATCCTAAGGTAATGTGAATTGTCCATCCATTGTACAGCACTATGGAATTTGCTGGCGTTATATAAATAATATAATAATAATTATAGCCCGTTCGCATAATACGCTAATTCGTAGTCTGCCGGAGTCCAACCAGGTTGTGAGAAATCAATTGGTTCATCGATCGCATAACCAAACATCAGTCGAGACTTGATAAGGGTACAACAGGAACATTTCATTACGACCAAATGGCCTACGTTTATACACAGACCCCCAACAGCGGGTCTCCAGCAAAAACATAGGAACAACAGGTGTCTGTGAGATAAGTGAGTTTGCTTTACTTAAAGGATCACTATAGTGCCAGGAAAACAGACAAATTATCCTGTCACTAAAGGGTCTTTAGGTTCCCCCCACCCTCGGGGTCCCACTTCCGGGGTTAAAAACGTACCTTTTTCCAGCACCGGGCTATGCAAGCCCCCAGGTCCAGGGACAGCCCCCTCTGGATCGGATGGAATACAGGTAGAACACAAGGATTCGACCAATCACATTACACTGTATTATTCTGTGGTGGAACCAACCTCGCCACTGTGCACTGGAGGAGCCTGGTTGCTCGCCTGCTCCCTTTAGACTATGGCCCGGCATTTAAAACCTTTTATTTTCCCTGCAGAAAGGCTTATTCGTGACAAAGGTGCCGTCCTTCCTCCCCAGCGGCAGTGTGTGTTACAGGGAGCTGAAGGTACCGTCCTTCCTCCCCAGTGGCAGAGTGTTCTGCAGGGAACAGAGACAGTCGGTCTCGCTCCCCAGCAGCAGGACAATATATTGAAAGGGGAGACAGTCGGTCCCCCTCTCCACCAGCATAGAGAGTGTCAGGGAGAGGAGCCTGCTACCCACTCTCCCCAGCGGCTGAAAGTATTCTAGGGAGAGGAGTCGGTGACCACCCCTCCCCAGCGGCAGCTTATTTCACAAAGGGGAGACCCTATTCTCCCAGAGGAGGCAGATGAGACAGTCGGTCTCGCTCCCCAGCAGCAGGGATAGTGTCAGGGCTTGTCACCCCCTCTCCCCAGCGACAGAAAGTGTGTAAGCTTGTTACCTCCTCTCCCCAACGGCAGCCTAGCCCACCAAGGGGAGATGGTAAGCCCCACACCAGTGCAGATGGGACCGTCGTCTCTGCACATGCCTCACAGGGGCTAGGGATCGGTCGGTCCTGTCCCCCAGCAGCAGGGCTATTCATCCAAAGGGGAGACAGCCTGTCTTCCCTGCCAGCAGCAGTACCAGGGCTGGAGTGAAGAGCTTACTACACCATCCCCTCAACTGGGCTCCAACCAGGCTACTCCCATAGTAGCGCGGGCAACAGGGCAGAGAACCGCTGGTCTCTGCCCACTCCGCAACCCACCGATCTGGAGTGCTAGTACCCCCCAGAGCCAAGGTGGATCTCCTGGACATGGACAAGCGACTCACGACCCCAGGTGTAGTAACCCTTTATTGTACGTGGGCTGTACTGCTCATTGTGTTCCGTGGGTTGGTTGCTGGACTAACCAGGGCACTGACCGACAGGAGGTCAGATATCCTGTTAGTCTGATTGGTAAAGGGGAGAAATGTGGCAGAACCAACCTCGCCACTGTGCACTGGAGGAGCCTGGTTGCTCACCTGCTCCTTTTAGACTATGGCCCGGAATTTAAAACCTTTTATTTTCCCTGCAGAAAGGCTTATTCGTGCCTTTCTGCTGGGGTGTTCGGTAGATTCAATCTACCGAATAAAGTACTGAACGATCAACCACCTGGGAACTGGAGTGTGCTGTCAATTGGCCGCCCAGAAGCTGCGGTTAACCGCAGCTTAATTGACGAACTCTGGGTGGCCTTTGTTCGTTTGCCGAACACGTGGCGGTGGCCATTTTAACTCCCGAATGGCCAGCGGTGTTCAGCGCCCAAACTATGGGACTGGAAACGGACACTTATTTGTGCGAACACCGCTGAGCCGCCAGCCTCCTTACCTCTGCATTCGGAAGTATAACCAAATGCCTGTTCATTCAGTAGTTTAACCGTATGAACAGCATCACCCCAGATAGCCATGCCATGGAGCCTATTCATGTAACGAAAGACTATAGTAAAGACTTTGGCTCCATGGCGATTGAACTGTATGTATGTGATCTGAGCGCCATTCGGTAATAATGTGCCCTCAGATCTAATCTGTTTGGGGATATGTAGAATGTATGTGTTTTATTCATTATTTGCAACATTGGGTATTTTTGTGTCTTTTTACCAACATGTGCTCAATGGAGTTTTGCCTCTGTCCTAATTATGGGACATAATTGGATTACTTCCCAATTATCTCCAGGATAGAGAGGAGGGATTGTGATGTAATTGTGGGAGAGTTTAAAGGTGTATGTCTGTGATTGGTCAATGTCCAATATGTTTCCCAGTCTTCCATCTGGTCCCCTAGGGGAGTGTCCACCAGGTGGAAGACCTGCATAAAAGCCGGGCAGGTAGCCCCAGTAAATCAGTTCTGCTTGACCCTCAAACAAAGTGTCGTCTCGTTCTTGGGGGGAATTGGATTGTATGCTGATTGCCAGGAGTGTAAGCTGATTGTATGCTTTTCCTGTTCAGCTGTTTCCAGTGTTCATGTGTTTCCTGTTCGGGAGTTGGAGGATTCGTGTAGTTTGCAGTTCGGGAGATTGGTGCCTGTGAATCTGAAAGGGGAATATCGCCTGTAACGGACCGTTTCAGCACACAAGGGGTTAAAACCGTTTAGGCGATCGTTCCTGTGACGGAACGCTGACACTCCGACTGAGTACCTCCGCCAATCGATGCTCCTAGTGCTCGCTGAGAACTCCAAGCACTCCAACCAACACCATCAGCACTGCAGACCCCACTTCCAGCGATGCAACTGCGCCAGGGGTCTCTGCTGTCTCCACCCACCCTGGACCCAAGGCCAGGATCCAGCTTCCAGTGGGTGAACCTCTCTTTCCCCAGAGAGCAGGAACAGTTGGAATGAAGAGGTGTCTGCGGTTAACCACAACGTTCTAAGTGGGGCCGAGAGGTTAACCAGCAGCACACTTCTCTTCTGGGTGGCCGTCCGTTCGATAGATTTGTTCGGTATAATTCTGCAATAAACGAACAAGGGCATACGGACAGGTAATTCCACGGAGGGAGGCAAAACAGATGAACCAGCAATACTAGTCTTACAGATGGATCTATCACAGTATATCATTTTATTTTACACTGTTTTAACTTTTATTTTACTTTTTACAGGCAGCAGGGTCTACTTGTCATTCCAGGCACTCCCCCTGTAGGCACTGCTGTGGACGGCTATTCCGTCCATGTGATCGTGAGATCCTCACAAGGACCTTGCGATCACATGGCCCAGGAGAGACAGAACGGCAGCAGGAGGACTCCCTGGTTTGCCGAGTAAGTCCCCCCACCGCAATCGCCGGCGAACGGGTAAGTACATAGGATGGCGGGGACATAGCCCGCCCACTGTTCTTACTGGGGTACTAAATAGGGGCACTACACCCAGACCACTTCAATGAGCTGAAATGGTCTGGATGCCTATAGCGTCCCTTTAACCCCTTAAGGACACATGACATGTGTGATATGTCATGATTCCCTTTTATTCCAGAAGTTTGGTCCTTAAGGGGTTAATGTATGCTTTCCTGTAGTCACCTCCAAAAAGGCACCTATAATAGATGGGTGGGGTGCTCAACCCAATATTAATCTGGTCTGGATTCCAAATATACATGGAAAATGGGGGCCAGTTCAGCAGTAAGTATTGCAGTTCCCAAGTTAACTTTGCAACTTTGCCCAAACAAACTATATTTCTCCTGGTTTGGTACTTTTCATTTATCGAACGCACACTTCCTGGCAAAGGATGGCAATTTTGTGTCTACTGGATGCTACCAGCAGCACATGCCCGCGATCCCCCTGAAACTATTGTGACAAGACCAATCTCGCCACATTGCATTGGAGAAGCCTGGTTGCTCGCCTGTTGCCTTTGGATTATGGCCCCATGTCAAAAGGCTTGATTTTCCCCTGCAAAGACAAGAAAGCCGGGTCATTTGGTGCTTGCCCTGTTTGAGCAGTGATACCCCAGATAGCTATGCCATGGAGCCCATTCGTATAAGACTTTGGCTCCATGGCAATTGAACTGTATGTGTGTGATCTGAGCGCCATTCAGTAATAATGTGCGCTCAGATCTGAGCTATCTGGGGATATGTTGAATGTACCTGTTTTGTGCAATGGCTGCACAGTTATATGTTTTTATGTGTTTTATTGTCTTTTGCTGCCATGTGTTCAATGGAGTTTTGCTTCTGTCTTTGGAGATAATTGGATTACTTCCCAATTATCTCCAGGATAGAAGACTCTGTGGAACTGGTTTTGGGCAGAAAAGCCATGCTTCCTTTGGTCACAAAGGACTACGATCTATCTTTTGAACCATTGGACCAATTTGTATGAATTTGACATATGTTTGTATTTGGAGTATGCTGATTCTGAAAATGTGAATGTGATGCATACTTTTCAAGTTATGAATAATGTGGAAAAATTGTATTTCTCTGCTTGTTATAATTACATTACCCATTGTGTAAGGTAATTGAATCACAAGCAGAGGGGAGGATTTTGTGTGGGAGTGTCTGAGTGTATTGTATGTGTTTATTGGTTGTGTTCCAAAACCCTGTGGGTGGTACTAATGTGTAGGAATGTGTACATAAGCACAATAAACCCACAGCTCTGGCTGTTCACTGCTTGACCCTCAACACGGAGCTTTGTCTCGTTCTTGGGGGGATTTATTGTATGCTGTTCCAGTTCGACTGCTAGGAGTGTAAACCTATTCGCATGGTTTTTCCTATTCCTATCGGCGGATTGGTGTTCTGCAGTAGCTGTGCCTGTGTCTCTGGAAGGGAAGATCAGCGGTTTAACCCTTTTATGCCTGTGGGTGCCGTTACAACTATTTTCGCCCACTTGCCCCTCCTGTTCCCAGTCACCTTTACCCAGTGTATTTATGTCCCTTTCCCGACCAGCCTGGAGAGTGGCCCCTAGGGCTGAGGTGACTAATCGCTCCCACAGGAGCCCCACTTGTTTACCCACAAGGAGCTTCCAACAATTGACCGACCGATTCTGGGCTTAGTTCACGTGTGCGGTTGGTCAAAACTTTCCCCTGGTAGCGATCCGGCTACACTGCATAGATCTAAGAGCCCAAGTCCAAATAGCGCTCAGATCTATGCAGGGCTATCCGGGGATAGAACATATGTGGGGGGTCTGACCTGTTTATAATATGTTTTGGGGTGTTTTATGCATTGTACCTCGTGTGTCCAAGAGATAATTAGTTTAAGCAAAATCACTTATCTCCCAGACACAGAGACATCGGGTGGGTCTACGGTTTAGTGAATGGAGACCCCATACTGGGGGTCATGTATATAACCAGATGACTTGGTCTAATAAATCAGTTGTTTTGTATCCTTCATGAAGTCTTGACTAATGTTTGGGTATGCAGGAGAGAGGACTATATTCATTGAAGCCTTGCAGGAATCGGGAGAACATCGTACGAACAGACAACTCTGGGTACAGGCGGTCCGTCACAATGCTAATCTCACATGTTAAAATTTGTGTAGGACCCACCGATACTGGGGTACTGTGACGCAATTGGTGTAGGACCCACCGATTCCGGAGTAATGTGAAGTCGTGGTGGGCTTAACATATGAATATGAATCCCATTTTTGTTTGCCAATATGTGATTTTAAGTAGCCTTGTTAAATTAAAAACTGTATTTTTTGTGTGCTGTTTCTGTATTTTGTATAGTTTACGAGCTGCTCAGGCACCCACACTCAGACCCTCCTAGAGCTGCTCAGGCACCCACACTCAGCCCCTCCTAGAGCTGCTCAGGAACCCACACTCAGCCCCTCCTAGAGCTGCTCAGGAACCCACACTCAGCCCCTCCTAGAGCTGCTCAGGCACCCACACTCAGCCCCTCCTAGAGCTGCTAAGGCCCTCAGCCCCTTCTAGTGCTGCTTAGGCACTCACAATCAGCCCCTCCTAATGCTGCTCAGGCCCTCCTAGTGCTGCTCAGGCACTCACACTAAGCCCCTCCTAGAACTGCTAAGGCACTCACACTAAGCCCCTTTTTGCGCTGCACAACCAGTCTTGGTGTTCTCCAGATTACGGAGATGGGATACACAGCCAGACCGGCGATAGTGACAGTTATGGAGATACACATAGTGACTGTTACTAGGGTACAGAGTCAGACCGGCAATAGTAACTGTAACGGCACCCCAGGTACAAAAGGGGTAAAAGCCGCCAAAGATATTCCCTTCCCGAACGCAGGATCAGCAAAACACATGAATAATCCCCCTCAAGTACAAGACGAGGCTCTGTGTTGAGGGTCAAGCAGGAATCTGTTTAATGTGGGCCACCAGTGGCGTACATACTAGGGTCGCGGCTGCGACTGGGCCCGGCCCACCAAGGAGCCCGGCCGCCCCTGCGACCCGGTGTGTACCCACTGGGCCAGCCTCTTCCCCTGGGGGGGGCCAGGAGCCGGCCTCCCCAGGCCCCCGAGGCTGGCCCTGCTGTGACGTCATCTTCCGGCTCCGGTATCAGTGCGGTGCGCGAGGGAGCTGAAGAGGAAGCACTGAGTGCTCCCTCGTGCACCCGCCTGCCGGGTGACAGCAGGGCCACTGGACCCCAGGGAATCCCCCCAGCACTCCAAAAGGTAAGGAGGCTGGGGGGATTAAATTTTAAAAAAAAACTTGTGTGAGTGTTAGTGTGTGTGTGTTAGAGTGAGTGTCAGTGTGTGTGTGTGTTAGAGTGAGTGTCAGTGTGTGTGTGTGTTAGAGTGAGTGTCAGTGTTAGAGTGTCAGTGTTAGAGTGAGAGTGTTAGAGTGAGAGTGTTAGAGTGAGAGTGTTAGAGTGAGAGTGTTAGAGTGAGAGTGTTAGAGTGAGTGTTAGAGTGAGAGTTAGAGTGTGTGTCTGCTAGTGAGTGTGTTACTGTGTGTGTCTTAGTGAGTCTGTTTGATGTCTGTTAGTGAGTGTGTGTTTGTCAATGAGAGTGTATGTATGTCTGTTGCTGAGTGTGTCTCTGTCAGTAAATGTGTGTGTCTGTTAGCTAGTGTGTATGCGTCTGTAAGTGAGAGTGTGTGTGTCTTCAGCACTTACCTTTCTCCAGCGCCGGACTCCCTTGGCGCTGGGGATCCTTCAGCCTCTCAGCTCCGAATGCGACCGCGCACGCATTCAAACCGCCCATAGGAAAGCATTACTCAATGCTTTCCTATGGATGTTCAGTGTGCTCCTCTAGCTGCTGTCAGTGAGACAGCCACTAGAGGCTGGATTAACCCTCAGTGAAACATAGCAGTTTCTCTGAAACTACTATGTTTTCAGCTGCAGGGTTAAAACTAGAGGGACCTGACACCCAGACAACTTCATTGAGCTGATGTGATCTGGGTGTCTGTAGTGGTCCTTTAAGTGTGTGCATCTGCATGCACTGGCATACATACCGCGGTCGCAGCCCTGTAACCCCTGCGACCAGGCGCCAACCGCCATGTGTTGCGGCCCGGCACGCGCGGGGTGGGCCCACGGATAAATTTTCACACCGGGGCCCCATGGGTCATGTGTACGCCACTATGGGCTACATAAGAAAACAAACAGTTAACCGTCAGTGCTATAATACACACAGTAGCCTAGGTTTATAAGTGTTCCCTTATAAACACTTAAAGAACAACAGTGACAAGAAAAAGGAAAAAACCAAAAGGTACAAAATAATGTGAATCACCAAAAGTGATAATGTATAAATGAATACAAACTGGATTATGTTAATATATTTTAGATTCAGAATTGTATCTGTAAAAAATACACAAACAATATATAGTGTGATATTGTTAAAGACCACTTGAAAATTATGGGTGGTAGAGAACTCACAAAGATAAGATGAGATCAGGCATATCTCCCTCTGTATTAAGGGACTGGAAAGTATGAAGGACCTCCAGCGATGGATCCAATTATATGATAGCAGCAAATCTTCTAATTCACTCCAAATAGAAAGAGGAAAATAGATAGTGCATATTGTATAAAGAGTAACAATTTATTACATGTATTGCACTTACAATGTATCAGAATAAAAGCAGCTTGTCTCCACACTGGGTGGTATTCATATGTAGCAGCTGAACCAATCAAGATGCAGGATCTGGAACAGTGATAGCAGCACCAAACAATATGAAATAAAAGTTCAATATTCAGGTCTTACACCCAAGGACAGCCCCATTAGGGACCTGGTGAAGACTGTGACAAATTCTTGCAATAACCAATCACAACAGTACAGGTATAAACACTCCCACCTGAACAGTATAGGACACTCCTCTCTATCCTGGAGATAATTGGGTTAAGTGCTAGAATTATAGAGCATAACCACCATTTCACCAGGATAATAAAAATTCATAAAAATACATAATTCCAAAACTACCGAACAGAATCCCCACATTCAACGTATCCCCAGATAGTCATACGAATGGGCTCCATGGGATAACTATCTTGGGTGGCTCTGTTCGCATAGTAATGTACCGAACGGCACGGCGTTCGTATGAAAGGATGAACAAGATGAAGGAAAGTTGGCGGCTTCAGCAGTGTTCGTATGAAAATAACGTCCGTTTTTAGTTCCATAGATTCGTCGACTAACACCGCTGGGCGCTCGCATGTCCAAGATGGCCGCCGCCACGTGTTCGTTCATACGAACGACGACCACTCTGCGGTTAACCACACATTCTAATGAGCCCAAGAGGTTAACAAGCAGCACACTTCCCTGCTGGGTGGCCCGCCATTCGGTAGTTGTGATGAAGTGCCCTTCGCCACTTGGTCCTGGAGAGGCCTGCTTGCCAGCCTCCTCCCCTGTGACTATGACTCTTTCATGTATTTGGCTTTAAATCCCCTAGTCTACCTTCAAACAGACTATTTATGTAGGCTGCTTTATTTCTCTTATGTTTTAGTCACCCTGTACCCATTATAGGTGCAGGGTGTGTGTAATGTAATTGTTTATAGTGTGTGTGTGTACTGTGTAATGTATTGCCTGCTCTCTTGTATTGCTGAGGTTTGCTACCAACTAGGTGGGTTTGGCTATGGAGCTTGTCTAGTGCCCTCTGTTGGTAGCAACAGCAATATGCACTACCTGAATTGCAAGACTGGTTCATTTGCATATTCGGGTAGATTTGCATATTGCTAATTCTGCAGGCAGGTGAGATATTTACTGTTAAATATTGTCTCCCCCACCCCTTTAAAAATGTGCCATTGTGTTGTCTGCTATGGTTTGACTGTTTTTGATTTTATTGAGGTTTCACAACAATGTTATTGTGGTGACACTATGGGCTGGTCCCAAGGGAAATAAAGGTTTAGACAGTTCTTCTTGATCCCTCTAAACGTAGCCTTGTCTCGTTATTGGAGGGAGCTGTTATAATCACACTGGGGATTGCTATGTTCTGCATGTTCCCCTCAGCTTGAATTACTTAGCTCTTTTAAGAGCTTGTTCCTGACACGCTCTCCTTGGAGGAGGGGTCTTCACCACACAGTCCTGGATGCTGGAGGTTCATACAGGGTGGAAGGAAGAGTTCTTTCCCACACAGTCCTGGAGGACAGAAGCTGATCCAGGGTGGAAGGACGATGGCGAGACTCCAGGCAAGATACAGCGGTTGCGGAGTCCGCGGTGGTTGTGGTGTCTGCTGCAGTGCTTGGAGTCCTCAGGAAGCGCTAGGAGCATCCATCAACGGAGTGTACTCAGTCAGAGTACAAGGAGCTCCGTTACAGTAGTTCTTTCAGGAAAAATGGAATTAAACATAGGGACTGTACGGACAGGGCAATAACCAAACAAACAGATGAACCAAGGTTAAATCAAAGTAATCCAAAGACAGAGAGATCTGTCACAGTAACTATTACTGGGATACAGAGTCAGACCGGCAATAGTGACTTATTGGGATACAGAGTCAGACTGGCGATAGTGAATTATTGGGATACAGCATCAGACCGGCGATAGTGACTGTTATTGGGATACAGTGACAGACCGGCGATAGTGACTGTTCCTGGGATACAGTCAGACCGGCAATAGTGACTGTTATTGGGATATAGAGTAAGACCGGCGTTATTGACTGTTATTGGGATACAGCGTCAGATCGGCGATAGTGACTGTTATTGGGATACAGCGTCAGACCGGCGATAGTGACTTATTGGGAACAAGTGCCTTCGCATAGAAAAACCCACGAACGCTTTGCGAAGTGCCTGGGTGGCCGCCTTTTTGGGACTTACACGTGTTCGCGGCCATCTTAACTCCTGAACAGCAGTGTTTTACCATCGAGTGTCTGGAACTAAAATCGGACACTCGAGTAGGCGAACACCGCTGAGACCTCCATAGCACCGGGAAATCGTGCTACAACTACCGAACGACAGGCGTTCAGTAGAAAGACTTAATAGCCTATGGGGATTCCGGCGAACGTTGGATTACACACAGATGGCAAGCCGTTCGGGACCTTTTACGCACGAACCAAGACCGGCTGCAAGGCCAGAACTGTTTTTGGCTACTTTGCCCGTGCGGTCGGTCAAAACTTTCAAGCTCCATAACTCCCGAACTGCTGAACCGAATGGGCTGAATTTTTACTATGTTGGTCCCCCAGAATAGGACTACACCAAGTATTTGGGGTACATCCGAACTTTGGGGAAAAATGTGTCCTTGTTAATTGTGTTATTAGCGTATCTGAGGGGAGGAGATGTGTGGGATGTAACTTACGTTTTATTGGTGGTTTGGTTAATTATGTGGGTGTCTCCCTTGCATGGACAGAATCACATAAAAAGAGGGTGCCTGTCATTAAAAGCCGGTTCTTCTTGACCCTTCAAAACGTAGCCTTGTCTCGTTCTTGAAAGGGGATTCTGCAGCATAATCACTTAGCTCTTTTCAGAGCTCTACCTGACTCCTGCCTTGGATCCAGTGGATGGGATCCAAGTAACTCCATTACTATACAGCGACTTGCCGGGAAGAAAAGGACGTCTCCAACGGCTGATACCCTCTCACTACCTGGGTAGCCGTTACAATAGGCTTGTTGTTCCTGGGTCCCTGTGTCCCACAAGGTCCATCTGGGTGGTAACCTTGTGGGGAAAACTCTAAAAAAGGCCACAATAAACCTTAAATTCCTAATTTACCCTCAACATAGAGTCTCTGTCTCATGTGTAGGTGAAAAGGTTTGCTATATCACTATACTCCCCTGGGATTGTAATTACTTAGCTCTTTTAAGAGCTGTTCCTGCTTGACTCTCAGGAGGAAGAGATGTTCACCCACTGGAACCTGGTTGTAGGTCCAGTGTGGGTAGGAGACGGCGAGTTCCCAGCCAAGCTGTAACGCTGGACGTGGGGACTGCGGTGCTGATGGTGTCTGGTGGAGTTTTTAGAGTCCTTGGTGAGCACTAGGAGCATCCGTCGGCAGAGGAACCCAACCGAGGTACAGGAAGCTCCGTTACAGTACTCTTCCAGCTGATATCTTGTGGTTTAACCAATGACAGGATGGATAAACTAAACCAGTAAATAACCAGGGGATACTAGACTCGATTTCTCTTTCTGAAATTCTGGCCTTACATTTGTAACTCCCTGATAAGTCATTCATTTATGGATGTACACTAAACCAGGAATCTGGATGATTTAGGCCAAATTTACGGAGAGATAATAGAAATGTGGTAATGTGCTTTTACAGGGTAATTCAGGAACTGATGACAGAATAAAATTTTAGATCTAAACAGAGGAATTGAATGAATTTCTCAAGCTATGGGTTTGATCAATCCCTGTGTAGCGGAATGGATGCCCTGGCTACACTTTTTTCCCCCCTTTCGTTCGGCTGTTCGTGCACCCCTGTTCGACTCTATGTGGTGCCCTTGTTTGCACCTTCTGATCGCCGACCACCCGACTGTTGGCCAAGGGTTGATTGTTGGCGCAGGTGATTCCCCTGTGTGGCCGCCGTTCGTACGTGCTCCAGGAGTTGGCAGCCACTTTATCTCCCGGTGAACTTGTACTGGTGTCCATCCAATTTCCCGAACAACTATGAGAACAGCGTTCGGGAGACAAGAACTACCAACCAGGGGGAGCACTCGCTCCCTAAAAGAAAGATGACTAGTAATTGCCTTGTTTTTTCTGTTTCAGTTTTGGGGCATTACCTAGTGGCCGACCATTCAAAAGTCGAATGGCGTTCCCGAACCACCTAAGGGATCTGAGCAGTATTTCGACAAAGTGGTTGCTCAGACTCAAGCTATTCGGCGACATGACTTTCTTGGGGTTCCTATGTTATTGCGATGTGTTTTTATGAGAGGTTGTAATATTGTGTGTGTTTTCCTGGATCTGAGAGATGGTTGAGTTATAGTTTTCTCATTTAATTGTCTCTCAGAAACAGAGGCTCCCTTGAAATGTTGATGTGGAGACACCATGCTGGCGCTCGGTGCATGAAGGCCAAAATAAACGGAGTTGATTACCAGAACTATGTGACGTCTAGTTGCTGGGGGGGAAAAAGGGTCTTGGATTACTACATTGCTTCTTTCAGCTTCGAGTAAGGAATAGCGGAGATACTTATGCTTGGTATTGGAGCTCTGCTACACCCTGTTTTTTGCAAATATCTATTTTATTTAACAGAAATAGCCAACGTATAAATATTAAAAAAAAATGTTTAATTTCTCACAAACAGCTAGTAGTGCAAATAAAGTAATTTATGCAGCAATAGGAAACTCTGACTGTTCTACAAGGTCCAGATCAGAAGCCCATCCGGGACCTTTTATTAGGAGGTTGGGAGCCCTGAGATGAGGATGGAGTCTGTGAGATTTGGACAGGTAACAAGGAGCTGGAAGAAGAGGGAAAGTCTACAGGTTCAGAGGGTTCCCCTAGGAAGGACAGAAAGTCCAGCATCGTTCGAGTCCTTTCCTTGGGTATTCCTTTTGAACGTAGAGACTGAGATGATAACAGAGTGGAAGAGTTGGCGGGCTTCTTGTGGGTACTTGGATTCTGTTGTACGTTTTGGGATCTGAGCTTTTGTTTACTTGTTGCGTCAATATTTAAAGTTTTGGAGAGTTCGGACATTCCCCTAGACACAGTTGCTGATAATCTGGGAGAAGCAGAGATCGTCTGGGCTCCTGTGGCCACACCGGAAGAAGATTCATGTTCTGAGAGACCAAGACTGTTTGACCACGGAGAGTTGGTGTCCATGTCAGAGTGTTCTGACTCAAAACTTAGGCTTGAGGTGAAGCTACTAGAGAGAGTGCTTCTACTATGAGCTCTCCGTAACTTCTGCATGCGTCGACGCTCTCTGAGAGACTGTATTTTACTGTTTTGGTTTAGGCCCAGGTAGTCATTCCACCAGAGTTCCAACTTCCCCTCCCAAGCCGCAGTTAGCCTCTGGCTCAGGGAATCCTTCCAGCGTTGTGGACAAACAGATTCTAAAGGGCTGTGCTCTTTTTGAGTCTTAATTTGCACCAGTGTTCTTTGCCTCATACTTTCACGCAGTTTTCCACGCAGATTATCCAAATCCTGTGCTGGGTCTATTACAGCTAGAGTACGGATGAGCTGGTTTATATAAAACTTTGGGCGCTGTTGTCGTTCAGCTTTCCCACTACTGTAATCCTGAAGAAGATTGCTGAACCAGTGTTTGTATCGCAAGCAAGACTCAGAGCTGAGGCAAGGTTTGGTCTGGAAGGTAGGTATAGGTGCTGTCTTAGGAATACAATCAATATTGATGGGTTCTTCCACAGTTCTTGTCTCCTCTGATTCAAGATCAAATTCAGCATTTTCATGGTGGTGATTGATGCCAACTTCATAATATGTGAGCGGAGTATGAATTGATCCTGGTGGTTGAGTTTCAGGTGGAAGACTTAATGCCTCTTCCTCAGAGCCAGTAATTACTGCACAAGTTTCTACAGAGGTGAAATCAATTTCTTCTTCTTGAACACTAACCACTGCATTCTGTGCCGTAGGTGGTTGCTGAACGGAACTCACGCTATGCGGTGTATATTGAGTACTGGTGCAGTCTGCCTCAGGTGTCCGTGGTACATTGTTTGAGTAATCCTCCGATGTTTGCTCATGACCAGGACCTTGCCATGTCTCAGGTCCTTGGCCAACATACAAAAGCCTCTGAACAAAGAGGTCTCCAGCCTCTGTGAGGTGAAAAACAGTCACGGACTCCTGGTCACCCTTCGTGCCAACAGCAGCCAATCCTGCATGGAAGATAAAAAGGAGCAAAAATAGTAAATCTAAAGGAAGTTATAACTAGAGCATGCATAGTTCCTACTAGAAGTCTATAATCAGATCATTTAAACATCTTAATAAGATCATTTAAACATGCCAACCAAGGCTTGCCAAGTCCAATAAACAGAGAACTTCAAAAGAAATGCTTGCATTTACCGGCTATAGAAGATGCTAGTCTCTGGGTCACCAAGTCCTGCTGCAGAGGGAGCAATGGAGGAAGATGCATCAGACTCCCAGCCAACTGTGGGAGAACAAGGGCTGGTTGGAGAAGCTGGCAAGTAGAAGTAGCACCCCCTGGAGGTAGAGTAGTATACGAAGCTCATTAATATCATATAGAGGAATAAACGCCCAAACCTATTTACTACCAAACTTAATTTCTTCTTTAAAATGGATTGGCTACACATTTAAAAAATAAAGAATGAATGGCTATAACTGTTCAAACATGGAATTATTATTTTCCTACTTACATATTAGTGTAAAATAAGCAGCTCTATTCTCCTCTGCGGTTGTGGCTGGTCTACCCGACAGTGTACTCTCCATCACCAATAGCTTACCTGAGTGAAGGATGCTCGTGGAAAGTTAAGCTTTTAGGTTTAATTTTCATCGTAGCTGTTATATGACCCCAAGTCCATAACTCTTCACAACAACATTTTTTGTTTAACAGATTTAACTTTAATCCGCCTACAGTTAGTTAATGTCGTTATTAGAAAACAGAACGTCAACTATTTCTCGTCATGCACTAGTTACAATATCTTATCGAACGTTTTACTTTCGATGCTCATGTAGTGGCTGTAAGACGGACATTCTGAATAAATACGTATTAAAACAAAGCATACACAAGGCTATTCACTAAAGTAAGATTTGTAGTGAATTAAAGGTGGATTTCAAGTTAAGATGTAATTTGGTCTGAGATTTTAAATTCACTTTGAATTGCTGACAATTGTCACTCTAGCAAATAATCCTGACAAGCTTACAACTCTCGTGGCTGGCACGGCATATTGTGGAGGGCCAGCATGTCCAACCCCACGGCTTGTGAGAATCCAGGGGTCTTAACAAGGCAAACAATGCAGTCTTTTTGGCAGGAGCCTCGTGTGCTGTCGGTCAAAATGTGACTTTCATGGAAATCCCGAACCCCTGAACCAATCTGTGTGATCTTTGGATATGTTGGTCCCCCAGATCGCGGCTATTAGGTGATATAACTTTAGTGGGGTTTCCATGAGTTTTGGGGTACTGTGTAAAAGTACATTTTTTCTGTGCTTGGAGAGAATTGAATGAGGTGCTATATTCACATAATCTAATTATCTCCCAAACACAGAGGATGGATTAGATTGTTTGTGTATGGGAGTGTCCTGGACCTGAGAGCCAATGTCATTGTATGATTGTCTGTACTGTAGTCTACTCTCAGGTCCAGAGGGAAGTGCCCTTTGCATGGCGATTGACATAAAAGGCCGTGTGTGGCTCCATTAAACTCAGTTATCTCACAGCATGTTTGTGGGAGAACGCTACAACAGTCTCTCTCTCTCTGTTTGGAGTGCTTAATCACTAGCTCTTTTAAGAGCTGTTCCTGCTCTGCCCTACAGCAACCCTTCCAATAGCAGCAAAACTCTTCTTCTCAACGAGGAGGCTGCCACATACCCGTCCCTGCACAGTGTGTGTATTAGGGAGGATATACCCATCCGTAGATAGTGTGTGTATTGGGGAGGATATACTAAAAAATACATAAAACCTCACAAATGTTACACCCCCCTAATAGTCCTGATCTGGGTGACCAACATATCCAAAAATCACCCAGATCGGTTCAAGGGTTCAGGAATTTCCTGGAAGTCATTTATTTGACCGACTGCAGGCATGGTCCCTTAAGTGCCATTGGAGGACCGACTGGGAACCGCAAGGTTTTCATGCCGAAAATCGTTCCAGGGCATTTGCGGATAAGTCCCCCCGAAGTCTATTTGCGGTTTTGGTCCATTCGAACAAGATGGACGCCACCTCGTGGTCATCTTTAGGAATTGCGGCCATCCAGACGAACACTTGGACCACTGCAGTGGAAATTGCAACAATGTATCAATTAAGCTTAACAAGCTCCAGGGTGGTCTCCGGTTCGTGCGGCTGTTCGGTAAACTAACCATATAGTCTCAACTGCACAAAAAAAAGCCTGTTTAAAGTATTTTGGCCAGGTCTATTGCAGGGGCCATAGTCACAGGGTAGGAGGCTGGCAAACAGGCCCCTCCAAAAACCAGTGGCGAAGTTACTTTCGTCCCAGAGAGGATATACCCATCCCTGCATAGTGTGTGTATTGGGGAGGTTCTACACGTCCCTACATAGTGTGTGTACTGGGGAGGTTCTACTCGTCCCTGCATAGTGTGTGTATTGCAGAGGTTCTACCGGTCCCTGCATAGTGTGTGTATTGGGGAGGTTATACCCGTCCTTCTACTCGTCCCTACATAGTGTGCGTATTGGGGAGGATATACTCATCCCTACATAGTGTGTGTATTGGGGAGAATATACTCATCCCTACATAGTGTGTGTATTGGGGAAGATATACTCATCCCTACATAGTGTATGTATTGGGGAGGATATACCCGTCCCTTCATAGTGTGCGTATTGGGGAGGATATACCCGTCCCTACATAGTGTGCGTATTGGGGAGGATATACCCGTCCCTACATAGTGTGTGTATTGGGGAGGATATACCCGTCCCCTAGTGTGTGCATTGGGGAGGATATACCCGTCCCTACATAGTGTGTGTATTGGGGAGGATATACCCATCCCTGCATAGTGTGTGTATTGGGGAGGATATACCCGTCCCTACATAGTGTGTGTATTGGGGAGGATATACCCGTCCCTACATAGTGTGTGTATTGGGGAGGATATACCCGTCCCTACATAGTGTGTGTATTGGGGAGGATATACCCGTCCCTACATAGTGTGTGTATTGGGGAGGATATACCCGTCCCTGCATAGTGTGTGTATTGGAGAGGATATACTCATCTCTGCATAGTGTGTGTATTGGGGAGGATACACCCGTCCCTGCATAGTGTGTGTATTGGAGAGGATATACTCATCCCTGCATGGTGTGTGTATTGGGGAGGATATACCCGTCCCTGCATAGTGTGTGTATTGGAGAGGATATACTCATCTCTGCATAGTGTGTGTATTGGGGAGGATACACCCGTCCCCGCGTGGTGTGGCATTTGGGAGGATATACCCGTCCCTGCATAGTGTGTGTACATCTCAATAGACCTGTACACTGTTTGGAACAGAAGAGATAAGAACCCTAAAAATGATCAAGTTGTGGCAGAACCAGCCTCACCACTGGGCATTGGAGAAGACTGATTGCCAGCCTCCTGCCATGTGACTATGGCCCTTGGGACGTATTGCCTGCTCTCCTGTACTGCTGAGAATTGCTACCAACTAGGTGGATTTGGCTATGGAGCTTGTGTAGTGCCCTCTGTTGGTAGCAACAGTAATATGCACTACTGAATAGCAAGACTGGTAATTTGCATATTTGGGTAGATTTGCATATCGCTAATTCTGCATGCAGGAGAGACATTTTGTGTTAATTATAGTCTTCCCCACCCATTTAGAAATATGTAATTATGTTATAATAAGTCACTGTATGTTGCCTGCGATGAATTGACTGTTTGTAATTTAATTGAGTTTTCACAGCAATGTTAATGTAATGATCATATGGGCTAGTCCCAAGTAAAATAAAGTTTTAGACAGTTCTACTTCACCCTCAATTTGGAGTGCCGCCTCTTATTGGGGGTATCTGCTAAAAGGGATTGCTATGCTCTGCATACTCTCCTGCTATATTCACTGCTAAGCTCTTGTAAGAGCTTGTTCCTGCCTTGCTCTCTGGAGGAGTCTATGGTGGTTATGGTGTCGGCTGGAGTGCTTGGAGCCCTCAGGAAGCGCTAGGAGCATCCATCAACGGAGGTACCCAGTCGGGGTGCCAGGTGATCCGTTACACAAGTCTCACTAGATTACCATATGTGTAAAGCACTTTGAGGTAAAAACAAATGTTATTTATTAGATTAAAAAGTACCTGTAGTAACTCTGTATAGTGTACCTGTATATTGCAACTCTCTGTATAGTGTACCTGTATGCTGTAACTCTCTGTATAGTGTACCTGTATGCTGTAACTCTCTGTATAGTGTACCTGTATATTGCAACTCTCTGTATAGTGTACCTGTATGCTGTAACTCTCTGTATAGTGTACCTGTATGCTGTAACTCTCTGTATAGTGTACCTGTATGCTGTAACTCTCTGTATAGTGTACCTGTATACTGTAGAAGGATGCTTTGCTGTTCGCATGAAGAACTGACAAGGACTTTATTGGATCGACCAGTTTCACTGCTGATTATGCTGGCGAATATGGGCGGAGAGTCCAACATATGCGCCCATTTCAGGACTGGAACCAGAGGAAAGCGCTCGTCCATGATATAGACAGAAAACTGGGAAGTGGAGACAGACAGATTTAATAGAAAACCTGAGTGGGTCTAGACATCGGCTCAGAATACAGAGACATGGAATGATAAGATGAATGTATGCATGACGTGTTGCATCACCCAAGAAATGGCGTACACACATGACATGGCACAAAGGCAGCAACAGGAAAAAACTCACACAACTGCTGAATGGGTCAGGGGATCTTCAATATATTGATCAATCTCCTTATTCCGCACTCGTACCACTGTGCCTACCTGTGTTGTAATGAGACAGTGCGCAGGGTTTGTCTCCCTCAAACAACGGGATAAATTAACTCTCTCTCCTCTCCGACAGGAAGCTTCTTTTCCAATATGAAACAAATCCAGGCCTTGAGAGCCACCAACCTGGGGAGAACCAGACTCTCTTAACGCAGGACAATGGAAGTGGAGATAATCGGAAAGAAAGCGAGCACAGTATGTACGTAGACAGCATGCATTAATAGAATGATAAATCCTACCGTACATTCCCCACACTGGGCCATCATTCAGCATGTAATCAACTTAACGGAGCCCACAGTCCCCCTCATTCTATCTGCTCCTGTAATAGTATGATGAATCCTACCGTACATTCCCCACACTGGGCCATCACCCAGCAATGTTACACATGTAATCAACTTAACGGAGCCCACAGTCCCCCTCATTCTATCTGCTCCTGTAATAGTATGATGAATCCTACCGTACATTCCCCACACTGGGCCATCACCCAGCAATGTTACACATGTAATCAACTTAACGGAGCCCACAGTCCCCCTCATTCTATCTGCTCCTGTAATAGTATGATGAATCCTACCGTACATTCCCCACACTGGGCCATCACCCAGCAATGTTACACATGTAATCAACTTAACGGAGCCCACAGTCCCCCTCATTCTATCTGCTCCTGTAATAGTATGATGAATCCTACCGTACATTCCCCACACTGGGCCATCACCCAGCAATGTTACACATGTAATCAACTTAACGGAGCCCACAGTCCCCCTCATTCTATCTGCTCCTGTAATAGTATGATGAATTCTACCGTACATTCCCCATACTGGGCCATCATTCAGCAATGTTACACATGTAATCAGATTAACGGAACCCACAGTCCCCCTCATTCTATCTGCTCCTGTAATAGTATGATAAATCCTATCGTACATTCCCCACACTGGGCCATTATTCAGCAATGTTACACATAGAACGAGGGGGACTGTGGGCTCTGTTAATCTGATTACATGTGTAACATTGCTGGGTGATGGCCCAGTGTGGGGAATGTACGATAGGATTTATCATACTATTACAGGAGCAGGTAGAATGAGGGGGACTGTGGGCTCCGTTAATCTGATTACATCTGCTCCTGTAAGATATACGCCAGGAACCCGGATGGTCACACACCGCTTGCCAGACAGGAACACACCCTCTGCCAGACGCCCAGGTGGTCACATACCCCCTGCCAGACGCCCAGGTGGTCACATACCCCTTGCCAGACGCCCAGAAGGTCACTCACTCCCAGCCAGACGCCCAGCCAATGTGTAGATGTATAAATATATGACCCAGGACAAGTACTTATTATAAAAGGCTGGATGGGTATGGAAGATTAACAGTGTTGATTGCTTGAGGTAGCTAGATCAAGCAGCATATTACAAGGCTTTTTCCTCTATTACTCACACGCCCCCTGTCAGACAGGAACACACCCTCTGCCACACGCCCGTATTGTCACATACCCCCTGCCAGACGCCCAGGTGGTCACATACCCCCTGCCAGACGCCCAGGTGGTCACATACCCCTTGCCAGACGCCCAGGTGGTATGGAAGATTAACAGTGTTGATTGCTTGAGGTAGGTAGATCAAGCAGCATATTACAAGGCTTTTTCCTCTATTACTATGAGAGCTGTGTGGTGCTGCACAATATGTCCCCATCCTCCCCGCAGCCAGTACAGGGTTAATTCTACATGGTGGCAGCCATGTGTCAATAAGTAGGATATTTACCCTGATGTCTGTGGCTTGCACCCCTGTCCGGTCTGCATAGGTGAGCACCCTTGGGTGGTTGGTGAAATCACTCCATCTCCACTTCGAGTCATCACGGAAAAAGAGGTTATCCTTGTCCTGTCGAACCTTCTGCAGACTGCAGACAGAAAATGTTATTTCTGCTCTCCTAGGAGCCATTTTTATATAGGAGGGCTTGGGGTAGGGTCTTACCCAGTCTCCACGCTCCACAAATAAAGGGCCCCGCTCTCCGTGCAGACACACAGCTCTCCCGGCAGGTGCGGGCTGAAAAAGGCAAAGGCAATTCCATTTGTATGACCATGTGAGGGGCTATCTCTATCAAGATGCAAGTCTGCAAGTATACATTGCACATTGAAAACTAGAGCAGGGAAAGGGGTTTTTACTGGAAGGCAGCTCAAGAAAGGAGGTGGGAATCCACAGAAAGTTGATGTAGGGGAGGGAAGGCAGCATGGCTGTTGGATAGAAGGTGTCAGAGGGTTGTTGTCATTACCTGACATTGATACAGGTACTGGGATTCTGGGTATTAATTACTTGAAGTGGTCGGGGTGAGCTTTGGGGACAGAAGCTCCAGGAAGCCAAATGGTACGAGGACCGGACGCCAACAAAGACTGTGAACGAGCATGAGAGAAGTCATCAACACTAAATCACAAACATATACACACACTGCTAGGCAACCCCCCTCTCCCCAAATAAACACTGCTAGGGATCCCTTCCCTCCCCAATACACACACTGCTAGGTAACCCCCCTCTCCCCAAATAAACACCAACCTCAGGGACCCCCAGACCGATAACTGCCACGAACAGCCTCCGTTCGCTGGGTCCCTGTGTGAAACCAGGCAAGGGAAACATCTCCTTTCGGGAAACTAATGCTCCCCTTGGCCAGCGTTCGTCTATATGATTGTTTCCCTTGCGGTTTCACACTATGTTGCCAACGTTCTAATTGATTGATGTGAACATTCCAATGGGCGCTGGGGAGGTCCTTGTTCGGGAACTGAACAGGGTGGGAAGCAATCCGCGAATGCTCCCCCTGGGCGGCGTTCGTCTAATGAACGAACTGCCACCCAGGGGATGCACGCGCCGTGGCTTCCCTTGCGGTCCTGACACCTCAATACTAGGTGTGAACGTTCTATATCAACATTCTAAATTAGGTTTCGTGGTGGTCCCTGTTCGGCAGTTACACAAACACAAAGAATGAAACACAGGATCAAGATAGGGAAAACACACGAAAGGGATGTCAGGACAGTAACACGCATCGCAGGATAACCGGGGCAATTCACAGTTTAGCGGTAGTTCCACTACAGTAAATAGTCCTGAGTGAGTAATAATACTAGTTTATGCAAGATCTGTGCCCATCTCTACAGTCTGCAGGCTGGGATATGACAATGGGTCAGATACCAGACTTCAGAGATCCCCCCCCTCAACACCACACTAGACTCCCGCATTCCTTATCACTTTATCAACACGACCACTTCCCTCCACACCTACCTTCCTCTGAGAAGCTGGGTCTCCCAGTGCTCACTTGTAGGACCTGGGCTGCAAGATCATACACAACTGGATCTTTGTAAATCTTAACCTGTTGCACAACAGACCGATCCAGAATCACCGGCTGGAAATCTGATTGTGCTAAGGAGCCTGCAATACAGATACAGGGATATCTACCTACAGGGGATCTACCTATGGGGGGGGAGGAGGGGGTGGGATGGGGGGAGAGGGGCAGGGGAATCTACCTAGCAACCTGCAGCAAGGGTATCCACCTACAAGGGGTCTACCTGTGGGGGTATCTACCTATGGAGGGGGAGGGGGAAGGATCTATCTACAGCGGGATCTACCTAGCAACCTGCAGCAAAGAGATTTACCAGCAAGAGATCTACAGAGCAACCTGCACCAAAGAGATTTACCTACAGGAGGACCTACACACAGGTGATCTACAGAGCATCCTACAACCTACAGGCGATCTCCCCAGAATGCAGCCCGCAGTGAAGGGATCTTCCCCAAAAAGCTGCCTGCAGTGAAGGGATCTCCCCACAGAGCTGCCCGCAGTGAAGGGATCTCCCCCACAGAGCTGAATGCAGTGAAGGGATCTCCCCCACAGAGCTGAATGCAGTGAAGGGATCTCCCCCACAGAGCTGAATGCAGTGAAGGGATCTCCCCCACAGAGCTGAATGCAGTGAAGGGATCTCCCCCACAGAGCTGAATGGAGTGAAGGGATCTCCCCCACAGAGCTGAATGGAGTGAAGGGATCTCCTCCACAGAGTTGCCCGCAGTGAAGGGATCTCCCCCACAGAGCTGCCCGCAGTGAAGGGATCTCCCCCACAGAGTTGCCCGCATTGAAGGGATCTCCCCCACAGAGCTGCCCGCAGTGAAGGGATCTCCCCCACAGAGCTGCCCGCAGTGGAGGGATCTCCCCACAGAGCTGCCCGCAGTGGAGGGATCTCCCCACAGAGCTGCCCGCAGTGAAGGAATCTCCCCACAGAGCTGCCTGCAGTGAAGGGATCTCCCCACAGAGCTGCCCGCAGTGAAGGAATCTTACCACAGAGCTGCCCGCAGTGAAGGAATCTTACCACAGAGCTGCCCGCAGTGAAGGGATCTCCCCACAGAGCTGCCCGCAGTGAAGGGATCTCCCCACAGAGCTGCCCACGGTGAAGGGATCTCGCCGTGTTCCTTACCATGTGATTGCATCGTATTGTGATTAAAGGTACACTATTATTGGTGTATTCCTAAAGCTATCTTTTGTGGAAGCAGAATAGGGACTTGTTATTGGAATACACAGTGAGTCTGTGCTGCCATCTGCTAGCAAGCTGGGGCCCATTAAACACACTTTATAATTTATTCCTGAGCCAGAAAAAGGATGAATGTTAGTTTAATGAACTGAAATGTACAATACATAGTCTGAGGGGTTAAGAAACTGGAAGAGGGAGCGTATTCATCAGAAATATACCACGTGTCCTCAATTTACTGAATAATTCCCATATCAATCTAAGTCTAGGCTCCCAACGCTATAGAGTATTCCAGCCAATCACTGCCCACCTCTCCAGGATATTCCAGCCAATCACTGCCCACCTTTACAGGATATTCCAGCCAATCAATGCCCACCTCTACAGGATATTCCAGCCAATCACTGCCCACCTCTCCAGGATATTCCAGCCAATCACTGCCCACCTCTCCAGGATATTCCAGCCAATCACTGCCCACCTCTCCAGGATATTCCAGCCAATCACTGCCCACCTCTTCAGGATATTCCAGCCAATCACTGCCCACCTCTACACCCCTTAAGGTCACCACCTTGGAGACATAACATATCAGTTGTTAGGATACGGAGCTGGTTCATAGCTGATCCTCGGGGGTAAATGAGACAGCCCTTCCAACCATCAGAGTATGGAATCCAGGACAGAGAGCCACCAGTGATTGACTCCTTGAACCTCAGCTGGTGCCAATCCTCAAGCATGGCTTCGTGGACCACACGTGCCATCATCCTAGGAGGAAAATCCTGCAGCCAATCACAAGTACGGAATGAAAGGGACCGTAGATGAGACTTGGAGTAAGAGAAGGGACAGCTGCCAAGAGAAAAACAGAGCATAAGGACAAAACCATGAAAGTGATAAGAAGGGGGTAGGAGGGGGAAAGTGATGATGAGAGGGATTCTGGGAGAAGGTGATATGGAAAGTGATAAGGAGAGGGATTGTGGGAGGGGACATGGAAAGTGATAAGGAGAGGGATTCTGGGAGGGGACATGGAAAGTGATAAGGAGAAGGATTCTGGGAGGGGACATGGAAAGTGATAAGGAGAGGGATTCTGGGAGGCGGGGACATGGAAAGTGATAAGGAGAGGGATTCTGGGAGGAGGGGACATGGAAAGTGATAAGGAGAGGGATTCTGGGAGGAGGGGACATGGAAAGTGATAAGGAGAGGGATTCTGGGAGGACGGGACATGGAAAGTGATAAGGAAAGGGATTCTGGGAGAAGGAGACATGGAAAGTGATAAGGAGAGGGATTGTGGGAGGAGGGGACATGGAAAGTGATAAGGAGAGGGATTCTGGGGGAAGACGACATGGAAAGTGATAAGGAAAGAAAGTGTGGGAGGGGACATGGAAAGTGATAAGGAGAGGGATTCTGGGAGAAGGTGACATGGAAAGTGATAAGGAGAGGGATTCTGGGAGAAGGTGACATGGAAAGTGATAAGGAGAGGAATTGTGGGAGGAGGCGACATGGAAAGTGATAAGGAGAGGGATTCTGGGGGAAGACGACATGGAAAGTGATAAGAAGAGGGATTGTGGGAGGAGGGGACATGGAAAGTGATAAGGAGAGGGATTCTGGGAGGAGGGGACATGGAAAGTGTTCAGGAAAGGGATTCTGGGAGGAGGGGACATGGAAAGTGATAAGGAAAGGGATTCTGGGAGGAGGGGACATGGAAAGTGATAAGGAGAGGAATTGTGGGAGGAGGCGACATGGAAAGTGATAAGGAGAGGGATTCTGGGGGAAGACGACATGGAAAGTGATAAGAAGAGGGATTGTGGGCGGAGGGGACATGGAAAGTGATCAGGAAAGGGATTCTGGGGGAAGACGACATGGAAAGTGATAAGGAAAGGAAGTGTGGGAGGGGACATGGAAAGTGATAAGGAAAGGAGAGGGATTCTGGGAGGAGGGGACATAGACAGTGATAAGGAGAGGAATTGTGGGAGGAGGGGACATGGAAAGTGATAATGAGAGGGATTCTGGGGGAAGACGACATGGAAAGTGATAAGGAAAGGAAGTGTGGGAGGGGACATGGAAAGTGATAAGTAGAGGGATTCTGGGAGGAGGGAACATAGACAGTGATAAGGAGAGGAATTGTGGGAGGAGGCGACATGGAAAGTGATAAGGAGAGGGTTTCTGGGGGAAGACGACATGGAAAGTGATAAGGAGAGGGAGGGAGAAGGAGACATGGAAAGTGGGAGAGGGACATGGAAAGTGATAAGGAGAGGGATTCTGGGAGGAGGGACATGGAAAGTGATAAGGAGAGGGATTCTGGGAGGAGGGGACATGGAAAGTGATAAGGAGAGGGATTCTGGGATGAGGGGACATGGAAAGTGATAAGGAAAGGGATTCTGGGAGGAGGGGACATGGAAAGTGATAAGGAGAGGAATTGTGGGAGGAGGCGACATGGAAAGTGATAAGGAGAGGGATTCTGGGGGAAGACGACATGGAAAGTGATAAGAAGAGGGATTGTGGGCGGAGGGGACATGGAAAGTGATCAGGAAAGGGATTCTGGGGGAAGACGACATGGAAAGTGATAAGGAAAGGAAGTGTGGGAGGGGACATTAATGTGAGTGGAAAGGAGAGAAATGTGGGAGGAGGGGACATGGAAAGTGATAAGGAGAGGGATTCTGGGGAAGGGGACATGGAAAGTGATAAGGAGAGGGATTCTGGGGGACACATGGAAAGTGATAAGAAGAGGGATTGTGGGAGGAGGGGACATGGAAAGTGATAAGTAGAGGGATTCTGGGCGGAGCGGACATGGAAAGTGATAAGGAAAGGAGAGGGATTCTGGGAGGAGGGGACATAGACAGTGATAAGGAGAGGAATTGTGGGAGGAGGGAACATGGAAAGTGATAAGGAGAGGGATTCTGGGGGAAGACGACATGGAAAGTGATAAGTAAAGGAAGTGTGGGAGGGGACATGGAAAGTGATAAGTAGAGGGATTCTGGGCGGGGACATGGACAGTGATAAGTAGAGGGATTCTGAGAGGAGGGGACATGGAAAGTAATAAGGAGAGGGATTCTGGGAGGGGACATGGAAAGTAATAAGGAGAGGAATTGTGGGAGGAGGGGACATGGAAAGTGATAAGGAGAGGGATTCTGGGAGAGGACATGGAAAGTGATAAGGAGAGGGATTGTGGGGGGAGGGGACATCAGGGGATTGAACATGTTGAGGTACACAAATTAATTTGTTCTCACTTGCTAAATGACAACCTGTCCTGACCGGTCCTAACAAGTTTAGAACTTTTATTACCTAATTAACATGTCCCTCCCTATCAATTAAAAAAAAATCTAATATATATATATATATATATATATATATATATATATATATATATATATATATATATATATATATATATATATATAGGCTCCATGCACACTTATAGGCCGGTTGGTTTCAATAGACACACACTTACAGTATCTGACCGTTATGTCAGCAGGGTTAGTACAATAACAGCCTGCTGGAGTGCTGATGACGTGAGAAGTACCCTGGCCCAGTTACATATTGACAGCTCTCAGCTAGAGTTGAGCGAACCCGGACTGTAAAGTTCGGATGCGTACCGAACATTACGTTTTTTTGATCCCGGACCCGAACACGGACATATCACTGTATGTTCGGGTTGGAGTTCGGTGTTCGTCGATTTAATGCAGGGCAGCCAATCAACAAGCGTTTGACTCGTGTGCCCTTAGAAGCCATCATAGCCATGCCTACTAATGGCATGGCTGCGATTGGCCAGTGCAGCATGTGACCCAGCCTCTATATATAAGCTATATATAAGCTGGAGTCGCGTAGCGCCGCACGCACATGCGGTCTTATTAGTGTAGTGAGAGGATGCTGCGGCTGAGGAAAGAATTCTGCAAACTAGTACATTAGTAGGGTGGGGTGCACTTCATATCTGAGAGTCAAATAGAAGCTTCAAATACCGCGGTTACATCAGAGTTTTAAAAAGTAATTTTTTTGGGGTGCTAAATAGTACATTAGTGGGGTAGTACATTAGTGGGGTGCACTTCATATCTGAGAGTCAAATAGAAGCGTCAAATACTGCTGTCACATTGCAGTTTTAAAACTTACAATGTTTTGGGTCCTAAACTGCTAAATAGTATTTTAATGGGGTGCACTTTATATCTGAGAGTCAAATAGAATCGTCTAAGTGTGCTTACAGCGCACTTGTAAAAATTTAAATTTTCTGGGTGCTAATCTGCTAAATAGTACATTTGCGGACTGCACTTCATATCTGAGAGTCAAATAGAAGCGTCTAATAGTTTGCTTACAGCGCACTTGCAAAAATTCTATTTTTTTGTGTGCTAAATAGTACATTTGCGGCCTGCGATGCATTTCTTGCAGTGCAAAAAAAAAAATGTTGGCTGTTGGCATTACATTGTCGCCTGACATAAACCATCTGTTAGTTTGGTCGGTGAACGCCAAGAATGAGGATAGTGTCAAATAAGGGACGTGGCTTTGGTCGTGGTGCTTCTGGTGTTGGTGGAATCCCTGTTGCAAGGAGAGGACGTGGTCGATCTGTGCCAGCTACACGCACAAGTGAAACACCTTCCTCAGGTGTGAGTAGGCAACAGAACCTTCAGCGTTATTTGGTAGGCCCAAATACCGCTCTACGAATGGTGAGGCCAGAACAAGTACAGGCGATAGTAGATTGGATGGCTGACAGTGCCTCCAGTTCCAGCACATTGTCTCCCACCTGGTGCCCTGCTGAAAGCTCAGAGTTTGCACCTGTAGCCCATGGCCATCTGTCTATCACCTCACCCCGTTGCAAATCACCCAAGCATTCTGAGCAACAAGTCATGCAGCAGTCTCTTATGCTTTTTGATGACTCTGCTGGTGGGGTTTCCATGGGCCATCCACCAACCCTGCCCCAGAAGTGGAAGGGATTGAGTGCACTGATGCACAACCACTTATGTGTGAGGATGTGGACATGCAAGGACCACCGCAGCACGTCTCTGATGATGACGAAACACAGGTGCCAACTGCTGTGGCTTTCGGCAGTGTGCAGACCAGCAAGGAGGGCAAGGTTGAGGAGTGGGTGGAAGATAATGTGGAGGATGATGAGGTCCTAAACACCACATGAAATGAAGGTCATGAGAGTGACCTATGCAGTTTGGAGGAAGAGGCGCTGGTCGCACAGAGGCACCAGCACAGCATAAGAGGGAGCAGGGTGCAAAAGCGGAGCGGCCGTCCCCTAGACGGTACGTCTGTTACTGCCCACCGCACACAGTGACCGAGCACACCAAAGCCAGCTCCAAGAAGTTCCCTGGCGTGGCAGTTCTTCAGACAATGTGCTGACGACAAAACACGAGTGGTTTGCACACTGTGCAATCAGGGCCTGAAGTGAGGCATAAACGCGCTAAACCTGAGCACCAGGTATCTACATGCAAAGCACGAGCTGCAGTGGGGTAAGCACATCAAAAACCAAGAAAGGTCTCAGGCTCCTCCTGCTTCCTCTTCTGCTGCTGTCTCAGTCTCTTCCTCCACCTCTGGAGTGAAGCAAACAGAGGATGTGGCAGCAATGCCATCATGTCCGCCACCGTCCCCAAGCATCTCCACACTGTCGCATGGAAGCATTCAGCTGTCCATCTCTCAAACACTGGAGAGAAAGAGGAAGTACGCCCCTACCCACACGCGATCTCTGGCCCTGAATGCCAGCATTTCAAAATTTGTGGCCTTTTAAATTCTGTCATTTCGTCTGGGGGAGACTGACAGTTTTAAAAACCTGATGGCAGTGGCTGTCCCACTGTACGTGGTTCCCAGCCGCCACTACTTCTCCAGGCGAGCCATCCCTTCCCTGCACAACCAATTAGTGGACAAAATCAGGTGTGCACTGCGCAACTCCATCAGTGGCAAGGTCCACAGATACGTGGACCAGTAATCACAGGCAGGGACGCTATATCTTCCTAACTGCACACTGGGCAAATGTAGTGGCGGCTGGGCATGATGCGGATAGCAGTCTGGCGCATGTCCTTCCGCCACTGAGGATTGCAGGGCATTTCTCTTTGCCTCCTGTCGCCTCCTTCACCACCACCTCATCCGGGCAGCGTAACACATTCACCACCAACTTCAGCACAGCCAGGGGGAAATGACAGCAGGCTGTTTTAAAATTCTCATGTTTGGGGGGAAAACCCCATACCGCGCAGGAGCTGTGGACGGGCATGGAACAACAGACCAATGAGTGATTGTTGCCACTGAGCCTCAAGCCCGGCCTGGTAGTGTGCGATAATGGGCGAAATCTCGTAGCAGATTTTTGCACCAAATTCAGCACATGCGCCACCAATGAGTGGGCCTCCATGCGAGACCTGTGTACCATTTTGCACTGTTTAGAGTACTCCAACAACATGGCCAGTGCCGATGACGCAGTTCTCAGCCTTACTATCCCGCTTCTATGTCTCCTTGAAAAAACGCTGCAGGCGATGATGGAAGAGGATGTGGCACAGGAGGAAGGGGAGGAGGGGTCATATCCACGGTTATCAGTCATTCACAAGTGGCTTGGAGGGTGGGTTCCTGCACCAGCATAGGCCAGGTACACAATTGTCCAGCCAGGGCACAGTGCTGGAGGATGAGGAGGAACAGTGTTCACAGCAGGGTGGCACCCAATGCAGCTCGTGGGCATCACTGGAGCGTGGCTGGGGGAATACGGAGGACCCAGACAATACACCTCCCACAGAGGACAGCTTGTCCTTGCCTCTGGGCAGCCTGGCACACATGAGCGACTACATGCTGCAGTGCCTGCGCCACAACTGCCGAGTTGCCCACATTCTAACTTGTGCTGATTACTGGGTGGCCACCCTGCTGGATCCCTGTTACAAGGACAACGTTCCGTCCTTAATTCCCTCACTGGAGCGTGATCGGAAGATGCGCGACTGCAAGTGCACGCTGGTAGACGCGCTGCTGAGGGCATTCCCAACTGACACCAGGGGCTCAGTGGAAGCACAAGGCAAAGGCAGAGGAGGAAGAAGATATTGCCAATGCAGCTGGGGCACCACCAGCACCTCAGAAGGCAGGGTTAGCATGGCCGAAATGTGGAACAGCTTTGTCAGCACCCCCGAACAACCAGCACCACCTTCTGATATGGAACGTCTTAGCAGGAGGCAGCATTTCAGCAACATGGTGGAACAGTACGTGTGCACACACTTATACGCACTGACTGATGGGTCTGCCCCATTCAACTTCTGGGTCTCCAAATTGGGCACATGGCCTGAGCTTGCCCTTTATGCCTTGGAGGTGCTGGCCTGCCCTGCACTCAGTGTATTGTCTGAACGTGTGTTTAGCACGGCAGGGGGTGTTATCACAGACAAGCACAGCCGCCTGTCCACAGCCAACGTGGACAAGCTCATGTTTATTAAAATGAACCAGGCATGGATCCCACCAGACTTGTCTGTACCTTGTGCAGAATAGACATTTATACCGGCCTCACCCAGCCATTGTTATACTCAAGTGCACTTATTCTTTGTTTTCTTTTTTTGTATGTCCCAATATTTTGGGGGCTTCCACAATTCAAAAAACAAAAGCAAAAAAACCCCCAAACAAATAAAAACAGTGTTGGCTACATCAACCTCCTCCTCCACCACCACTTCCACCTACACCGCCACGGTCACCGCCTCCTCAACCTATGGGTCACTTAGTATAAAATAGGTACACATTAGCAGAGCCTTGTGAAGGCCTTTTCTCCATGCATCAGAAGTTGAGCATTTCTCCATGCATCAGGACTGCAAGAAATTCACCGCAGGCTGCAAATGTTTCTTTTTTTATATGTCCCAATATTTTGGGGGCTACCCCAATTAAAAAAATTTTTTTTATATATATATATATATATATATATATATATAAAAAAAAAAAACAGTGTTGGCTACCTCCTCCTCCTCCACCGCCGCTTCCTATGGGTCATTTGTACATTCTGTTTAGTTTAGAATTTCAAGTTCAATTTTAAGAGCAGATGACAAAAAATAGTTAAATCAAGTTAACATCTGATTTAAAATAAAACTATTACTAGTCACAGCCAGGGGAGGGGTGGCTAGGGTTGTATTGACAGAAACAAAAGTGATTTAACTCCTAAATGGAAGATAATTGACCAGTTAGACTACTGGGGCAAGATCTATACACAAAAACTGGTTCATTACAAAAATCCACATCCTGATGGCCATGAAAAAAGAAGGCATCCTGAGCTTAGCTGACATTAAAACTCAAATAAACTATCAAGGGATAATGGAAAAAAGTATATACTTCAATAATGGCAGCATTAAAAAATAAGACAATCTGGTCCAAGTGGTTTCTAGTTCTTAGGATCAGCTCAATCAAGTCCACGTGCAATGATCTATGGCACTATTTAGCTTTGGATATAATTTGTATACCTGCTTAGAATGTTATAGCCCTGGAGTCTCGAAACCTCTGAATGGATCATTTTCTCTCCGAGTTATTGTTGTGTATGTTTGATATGTTTTACCTATATCATTGTACAGATTGCTGTAGACTCGCGGTACCACCTGAGAACAAGGACTATCTACACAGGATTACACAGAATATGTACATGTTGTTATTGTTCAATCCGCTCAGAAATTGACAATATGTTTATGTGGTGTATTTCCGAATTACTTGGAATTTCCTCCCATGGCTACGACATAGATTGCAGATATTATAAAGGTTGTTTTGGTGACTATAGTGTCACTTTAATGTTTACCCAAGTGATTATTTTATTTCAACAATGAGAACAAAGAAAATGGGGTAGAGGATCCACTCACAAAAAGTAGGTGGAAAATCCAACCCATTCAGTAATAATACCTCCTAATGTAAATTGTTGTCATTTTCTGGGGTCAAGCCCCCTATACCCTCCTGTAACCTTCTCCAGGGCAGTGGTGGTGGTTTATTCCACTCCATAACCCCTTCCTTCTTTTTTCCTATTTCTGATTATTTTATTTATTTGCACATTATGACCAATGCATGCAGGACTGTCTGGCACACTGTTAATTTTCGTTCCACTGCCATTCTCCACCATTTAAAGAGTTGTGTCTTATTGGTGAAAACGCGCTTCCCAGCACGTGTTGTTTATGGTTAAGTGGTATTGTTAAAGGGACCAGTCACAACTTCCTTACAATATGTTCTATGTATTAATCTCCATAATGCACAGATGGGCTGACATTGTGGGACCTCGAAATTCATGACGCTAGAACATACAAATCCCAGTCTGTCCAAAATTAGGGAGAGTTACTGCCACTCACAAGTACAACTCCCATGAATCATGATCAGAACAGGACATATGTCCGGCTGCTACCAATAACAACAACAACAAAAATGCTGTAACTAAAAGATGCAACCCGTTAACAGAACATAATGGAAACATGCTGCAGCACATGGTACTAGGATTAGCCATTTGAGTGAGAACAAAGAAACCTGGGGGAGTCATGCTCCAAGTGAGCCAGGGTGAAGTGGGTACAGGGGAAGTGGAAGAAGAGCCGGACTCTCACTCTTGGTGTGGAATGGTTCTCAGAGACTGCAGCAGACTGGTCATCCTCAAACGGCTTGCTCTGTCCTTCTGGAAACAAATACAGCAAGGGCAACGTTTACACATAACCCTTCTACAATGTGCCCAAACATCTACACCACCTATGTATAAAAAAATTGTGGCATTATTCCATTTATTCTACAGTAACGTGCTCCACAGTTATAGTAAATAATAAATATATATGTAATATTACATTACAGTCGCAGCCATTCCCAATTACTGGCCTCCGGTGACAAGCTGGAGATATTTCAGTGGCTGTCTCATGTGACTAGTCCCCAAACCCTCTCTAACTTGATGGACGGCTTAAAACACCCAGTTCCTGTTGAATGGCTGATCCTCCCTGGGGCAGACTCACGCGAATGCATTTGTCCCCGAAGTAGCAGTGTGGTTCCAGAAGCCTGCCCATCGCATGGAATGCAGTGTCGCTGTGATCCCATGTGAACTGGTGCAGCTAATACAGGAAAAAGGAAGTGGAGACAGATTAATAGACTCAATATGCAATAGTCTCAAACCACTAAAACCATCCCTACAGCACCCAGCAAAGATGCCAGTGCAGTGTTCCTTTAACCTTTCATTTTATCATAATATATTGCACCAACGTATTCTGCAGGGCTTTACAATTTTTTAAAGTGGGAAAATTAACAGCAAATGGGAAAATTACAACATGTTACAGGAACAATAGGTTGATGAGGACCCTGCTCAAAAATGTACTAACCAGAGAACTCTCTAACTTGCAATAGCTACACATAGCCTTCCAATCTGCAGATCAAATGGACATTCACCAAATAGCTGCTCCCTGTACAGACTAACTGTGGACATTCCATCAACAAGTGATATTCATTTTGGCGTTTTTGCCTAAATATTTGATTTTATGTTTGCAGTTGTAACCCTGCCCTCCTTTGACCCACCTCTCCCATTCTGAAATCCTTCAGCCATGTTGGTTCCTGTACCTGATGTCAGCATTCCCTTTCAGCCCCTCCCTCTAAGTCTGCGTCGGCTATCTCATAAAACAGTCATAAATCAGGAAGCACAGCAAAGATTTCTGGGAAATCTGACAACTGAACTACAAATCCCAGAAACCGCTGCTGTGTAGATACATTTCACAAGAATAATGTAAACTGGCTTACAGCTAAAAGTTTTTCTTTTTTGCAAGAAGGAATAAATAATTTTCAAAATGCTAAAGTAAAATAGGCTCTCCCATGTACACATAAAATAATTCATAAGGTATCTGCAAATTAAATTTTTATGGGCCTCTGATTCTCAATCTCAGCTTCACATTATGGGTTGAACATAAGAATACATTTCTATTTTAATTTTTTACCTTCTTTATAGCTTTTAAAAAGCAGGAAATAATTTAACAGAATGTCTGTTTTTGCTATAAAGCCTTCAAGAAGGGAGCAGTTTTATAACAATTTCAGGAAACTGCCCATAATGTGAACCCAGGACCTTCCTTTACTGCCATAACCCAGGACACGTCTGGCCAATCCCTGCACGATCCTTTCCTGCCAAAACCTAACCCAGGACACGACTTGCCAATCCCTGTACCCTCCTCTCCTGCCATAACCTAACCCAGGACACGACTGGCCAATCCCTGTACCCTCCTCTCCTGCCATAACCTAACCCAGGACACGACTGGCCAATCCCTGTACCCTCCTCTCCTGCTATAACCTAACCCAGGACACGACTGGAAAATCCCTGCACCCTCCTCTTCTGCCCATAACCCAGGAGACAACTGGCCAATCCCTGCACCCTTCTCTTTTGTCATAACCCAGGACATGACTAGCCAATCCCTGCACCCTCCTCTCTTGCCAAAACCTAACCCAGGACACGACTGGAATATCACACTCTATACACTATATATATATATATATATCTTCTGCCCATAACCCAGGACACAACTGGCCAATCCCTGCATCCTCCTCTTTTGTCATAACCCAGGACATACCTGGCCAATCCCTGCACGCTCCTCTCTTGCCAAAACCCACAACACAATTGGCCAATCCCTGCACCCTCTTCTTCTGCCAAAACCTAACCCAGGACACGACTGGCCAATCCTTGCACCCTCCTCTCCTGCCATAACCTAGGACACAACTAGCCAATCCCTGCACCCTCCTCTCCTGCCCATAACCTTGAACACAACTGGCCAATCCATGCACCCTCCTCTGAGCCCTTAACACAGGAAACAACTGGCCAATCCCTGCACCCTCTTCTCCTGCCCATAACCTAACCCAAGATTAATAAAAAACAATCAGAGCCTGGATTTGCGGATTGACTCCCAGCATTCCTAGTGTAATTGGTTGCTATCCCAAGTCCATACTGCTATTGGTTAGCTTTGCTCAGGCAGGTCATGAGTCTATCGGCGGAGCGGTCGGTTAGATCCAAAGACACAGGGTATGCAAGAATCTGTTGTGGGTCTCTAACCTGTTTGCTGAAATTCATTTTTTTTGCTGCATCCCTGAGCTTGACATCTTCACAGAGAGTCCGTTTGTGTGGAATAAACAGGTCCCTTTCTGTCACTGGAGAAAATCCGCAGCCTGTATAAACATAACATTATGCCAAAAATGGTCAGTCCATTGCCCACCAAGCCACATACCACCAGATAGCAGAGTATCCACCCCAGAAAACTGCTCCACCAAGCCACATACCCCCAGCTGGCAGAGTGCCCCCCCCCCCCCCCATCAAATTCTACTTGGATGAGTACCCACCCCAGTGAACTGCCCTCCTCACCATGCACTGCCAAGTGGTGGAGTACTCAACCCTAAAAACTGCAAACAAAGCCATGTGCCCCCACTCTGAGTACCCAGAGAATGATCCCTCTACCACAGCAAAACACCAACAGACCCGTCCCCTCAGCCCACAGAGCAATCCCCAAAGTTGGAAAGGCAGCCACAGATGTGTTCCCTCCACAGGGCTTTTAAACACGTACTGACACAGAACAGGATTTAAGCCATTCATCCTACCGGTATTGGGCTCCAGGAAGGGGAGAGGGGTGGGTTCCACAGTAACCCATTTTTCTGCAGTTCTGCTACAAAATGGAATAAAGCTGCAACCAGCCTGGGGGAGACAAAAACAGAGCATGACACCCACCCTGACACCAGCCAGCACCCACAGATGTCATAAGGTATATTACAGCCAGCAGGCGCCAGGCACAGTCATACAATGCGGCACAACTAGTGCACATCCAAAGTATAAACAGATTGTCAGTCTATAGACAAACCTGAGCAAACTGACCCAAGTAGACAAAATCTGCTAGAGGCTTACCTCTGGAGGGTCCACAGTGGACTGATGCACCTTGCCAAGCTCCCCCCATCCCTGTACAGGAGGACCACTAATTATTACTCCATTGCTGGGACCCTCATTGTAAAATTCAGGAAAAAGAGGACAAGGAAAATCCATCTGGAAAACATACATGAACATCTGCAATTAGCGGGTGGACGTTAATGGTTTGTAACCTCCCACATGGAGCACCTCCTTACAGGGTCACTAGATAAATATGGACCTTGCTAGATCTTTTTAAACCACTCAAAGGACAGATGGCTGACTTGGTAAACCAGCAACATAGCCCCTGCTGATAGTACCCACTGTGCCATATGCTCCCATTTAATGACGTACTCAACAGTGAGCAGACCAGAGTGCGAACCCCCATTTACTTTTTAATATATACACCCTACCCCTCCACTCCAGGAGACACTTAGGAAGTTAAACGGTTTCTCTCCCATGGCATAGTTGGTGTAGGACAAACCGTATTGGGATGCTGTGGGCTTAAAAGAATATGGCTGTGACGGAAGCCCTGTATCAGGGCCTTCTGGAAAGGCGTAAAGGTCAGCCTCCTACTCACAGACTATGGGACTGGCACCAACCCTAAAAGGGTCTGTTGTCCCTGTGTGGGAGGGGCCCTGACACTTGTTGTATTTTTAATAGAATCCTCAGGACCAATGGCCTTTGATCTGCTATATGCTGTGTTGTTCTGAGTGCCTGTATGTCTCCCTTATATGTATTAAATGGAATGAATGCTTTAGACTATGCCTTTCACCGTCCCTCCATTTCCTGTCTTATGGTTTTCCCAATAGGTCGTTTTCCTATTGTTCCAGAGACACGTCAAGACCGATTCAAACTGGATGCTATGTCCCTCCTTTAAGTCACCCATGTTTCTCAGCAACTTCAATGTTGAAAGATTTTATTCGTTTTTTTTTTTTTTTAAAAACACCTAATCTAGGCAAAAATAATGGGGGTTTAGTTACATTATATGATCATACATTGCATAAGCCTGCCACAACGTCAATGTACCCCATCTTTGGCAGGTCCTACACTAACAGCCTAATGTCTGCTCTTATGAGATTAACCCACTTACTTGAGGGGGAAAAAAAATTCCATCTGGGGCTCTCTGCAGTACAAGGCTAAATAGCGCCCTGGGATGAGGCACCTGTGACAGGGAGGGGTGCAAAACCAAAGAGTTGGCCAGACTCCCAAATATATATAAATGAAACAAGGGGGGGTTGGCCGCACTCACCTGAACATGCAAAATGGGGGTGCTGCTGGGGGCCAAATAATACAAAACACAAGATCCAGCGCACTCACCTATCCACTAAACAGCAACTTCAATGTTGAAAGATTTTATTAGTTTTTTTTAAAAACACCTAATCTAGGCAAAAGTAATGGGGGTTTAGTTACATTATATGATCATACATTGCAAAGATGGGGTACATTAACGTTGTCGCAGGCTTATGCAATGTATGATAATATAATGTAACTAAACCCCCATTACTTTTGCCTAGATTAAGTGTTTTTAAAAAAACGAATAAAATCTTTCAACATTGAAGTTGCTGTTTAGTGGATAGGTGAGTGCGCTG